TTGGCCAAGTGCGCAGCAAAGAGTACGTGATCACGAGACGGCACAAGACCGACTGCAGGACGTGAGTCTGTGCAGGTGGCCTCGTAGTTGTCGGCGCCCGAGAGCCATTCGAGACGATCGAGAGCAATCTCTGGCTGCTCTGGGCATAAAATTGAGCCACTGACAGCCCAAATGACTCCTTTCCAAAGGCGCGGCGCTGGTGCAGTACCAGATGTACTCGAGATTGCCATGTACGCATCCGAATGACGTTGTCGAGCGGGTGCGGCGACGCTGAGAATTGTTTGCACAAACTGTCGAAGCGTCGACGGTACCGTGACATACACCATGTCGATGGACCCAAACGGCCCAAGGAGCGAGGATACAAGAGCGTAGTTGGCGCTCCACGGCGGTTGGGGCAGGTACCAATCTTCAATCAAAATATCCTGGAGCGACGCGTTCGAAAAGGCGAAGCGACTGCTGGCGCGAAGCAGACTTTTATGGCTCATGCTTGTGCGGTTGCTCCAGACGTAGGCAAGGTCGCTGTCCAAGGCCCAATACATGATGTACGACGTTGCACTGGTGAAGCGAGCGTAGGTCGCCGTCGATTGCAGTGCAAAGCTGTACGCGGCACCGTACGCGTTGACAATGTTGTATGTGGTCGTCAAGCCGATCGACTTGTAGTTTTGCCACTGCAGCGTATACGATTCAATACCTTTTGACGTCCAATAGGCCACTTCATCGGGGATCGCGAGGTACGGCGGAGTGAACGTCGCTACCAAAGCTCGACCGGCCTTCGATTGACGTAGCTCAGAGCCAAACCCAATCTCAAATTCTTCGCCCCAGTACATTGTCAGGTTCACATTCCGAAGCAGAGACGCCAAAAAGACAGCACCGTTACTGACCATTGACTTGCATCGCTCTTGGCGCTTGATCGAGTTGGCCATTTCCCAGGTTTGATCAAAGTCGAGGTAGCAGTACTGCGTAAAAATCGACGCCGTGTCATACGAGGACATGCTGCGCAGCCCCGCGATCGCGTCACCAATCGCGGTTAGGG